TTAGACCGATCAATGAGTTGGTCCAATTAACCGGCTAGACCAACTCGGTTGTTGGTCCACAAGCCGGTAGGACCAACTAATCAGTTGGACCAACTTGCTTGTTTGTCCAACAAGCCGGTTGGACCAACTGATCAGTTGGTCCAAATAACCGGTTGGACCAACTGGCTTGTTGGTCCAACAAGCCGGTTGTACAACTGATCAACTAAACGGCTGGACCAAGTGACTGATTGGCCCAACAAGCCTGTTGGACCGATTGATCAGTTGGTCCAACTAACCAGCCAGACCAGCTGGGTTGTTGGTCCAACAAGCCGGTTGGACCAATTAATCAGTTGGTCCAACTAACCGGTTGGACCAACTGGCTTGTTGGTCCATCAAGCCGGTTATACCAACTAATCGGTTAATCCAACTACTCGGTTGGACCAAGTGTCTTGTTGGTCCAAAAAGCTGGTTGGACAAACTGATCTGTTGGTCCAAATAACTGAGTTGACCAACTGGCTTGTTGGTCCAAAAAGCCGGTTGGACCAACTAATCAACTAACCGGTTAAACCAAGTGTTTTGTTGGTCCACAAGCCGGTTGAACCAACTGATCAGTTGGACAAACTATCCGGTCAGACAAACTGGCTTCTTTGTCCAGTAGGCCGGTTGGACCAACTGATCAGTTGGTCCAACTAACTGGCTGGACCAACTGGCTTGTTAATCCAAAAGGCTGGTTGGACCAACTGATCAGTTGGTCCAACTAACCGGTTGGACCACTGGCTCATTGGTCGATCAAGCCGGTTGGACCAACTGATCAGTTGGTCCAACTAACCGGATGGACCAACTGGCTTATTGGTCCTACAAGCTGGTTGGACCAATGGATCATTTGGTCCAACAAGCCGGTTGGACCAACTGGCTTGTTGGTCAATCAAGCCAGTTGGACCAACTGATCATTTGGTCCAACAAACCTGCTAGACCAAATGGCTTGTTGGTTCAACCATCCGTTTGGACCAACTGATCAGTTGGTCCAACTAACTTGCTGGACCAACTTGCTTATTGTCCAACAAGCCGGTTGGTCCACTAATCAGTTAGACAAACTGCTTGCTGGTCCAGCAAGCCGCTAAACCAACTGATCAACGAACCAGTTGGACCAACTGTCTTGATCGTCAAACAAGTGTATTGGACCAACTAATCAGTTGGTCCAACAAATCGGCTAGCCCAACGGGGTTATTGGTTCAACTAGCCGGTCGAATGAACTTATCAGTTGGTCGAACAATCCGGTTGGACCAACTGGCTTGTTTGTCCAACAGGCCGGTTGGACAAACTAATCAGTTGGTCCAACTAACGTGCTGGACCAACTTGCTTGTTGTCCAACAAGCCGGTTGGACCAAGTAATCAACTAACCGGTTAGAACAAGTGTCTTGTTGGTCCAACAAGCCTGTTGGACCAACTGATCAGCTAGTCCAACAAACCGGCTAGACCAACTGGGTTGTTGGGCATAATATTCGGTTGGATCAACTGATTAGTTGGTTCAACTAACCGGTTGGATGAAATGACTTGTTGGTCCAACAAGCCGATTGGACCAACTGATCAGTTTTTCCAACTAATCCGCTGGACCGACTGCTTGTTGGTCAAACAAGCTGGTTGGAAATACTGATCTGTTGGTTCAGATAACCGGGTTGACCAACTGGCTTGTTGGTTCTGTTGGGTGCAAATTCACATTGCACGACATCCTGCCGTCTGTTTGTACGAGTATGCGTGTACGAATGCATTTGGGTGTGAATGGAATGTTCGTGTGTTTGTTTGCTTTCGCAATTTTCGCTTGAAGCATTTGCAGGTACTCGCGCATTGTGCGCTTTGGCACAACATTGTACGCGCTATGAACAGCACAAGCTGAAAGGACGAGCTCGCAAAGGAACCCAAGATGGAAGGTTGGATGTTGTTTGTCTGTATCTGCATGCTACAGGACCAGGGGAAACCAGCGGAACCAGCTTTTGGCTGGTTGGGCAAAGACGAAACAGGTTCTGTGTTTAGGACCTGAACCTGGTTGTTGTTTTCCCAGGTTGGAAAAACAGAACCAGAGGTTGTTTACCAACCTACCACCTGCTGTTTTGTCTAGCCAGGTTGGTTCTGTTGCTTGGAATTATTTGGGATCATCCCTGGTTGTTCCCAGGTTCATTCCCAAGGTCCTTGCTTGCTAGAACTATTTATTCCTTCTCTGTTTGTACCTGGATATAGTCAATTTGATTCAAGCGAATTCCTCCCTTCCTGGAGTTTCGTTTCTACGCGGTGCGACGGCGGAATGCTACCCGAGTCAACGCTAGTACGCTAGCACTCCAACGCTAGGCAAACGCTGTCCGAGCCATAACTTCGTAATGGCAGAACTTTTCGCGAGGCAACTTGGTTCATTTTAAAGCTCTTGGAGCGAGCTTCGATATAGGAAATTCTCAGCTGAATCCGATCGACGGTCTGCACGGTACGCTGCGCGACATTCAAGGTACTCTTGCTGTTTTGACTAAGTCCCTCTTGATCCCTCTCTCTACAAACTCGGACCCGAGGATAGGGGCTGGTCTTGTACCAGGCACCCAAGGACCCTTGGAGGTGACCCCGAGGAGAGGTTTTAAGTTTGATAAAGTCTTAATAGCTTGAGTTTATTAGGCCCTTACACCAACAGGTTCAAAAAGCCTGTTGGGCCAACTGATCAACTAACCGGTTGGACCAAGTGTCTTGTTGGTCCAACAACCCTCTCGGACCAACTGATCAGTTGGTCCAACTAACCGGTAGGAGGATATTACTTGTTGGTGCAACAAGCCGGTTGGACCAACTTATCAGTTGGTCCAACTATCCGGCTGGACCAACTGGCTTGGTTGTCCAAAAAGCCGGTTGGACCAACTGATCAGTTGGTCCAACTAACTGGTTGGACCAGCTGGCTTGTTGGTCCAACAAGCCCGTTGGACCAACAGATCAGTTGGCCCAACTAACCTGCTGGACCAACTGGCTTGTTGGTCCAACAAGCCGGTTGGACCAACTGACTTGTTGGTCCAAGAAGCCGGTTGAACCATTTGATCAATTAACCGGTTGGACTAAGTGTCTGATTGGTCCAACAAGCGTGTTGGACCAATTGATCAGTTGATCCAACTAACCAGCTAGACCAACTGGGTTGTTTGTCCAACAAGCCGGTTGGACCAACTTTTCAGTTGGTCCAACAAACAGGTTGGACCAGCTGATCAATTGGTCCAAATATCCGGTCGAACCAACTGGCTTGTTTGTCCAACAAGCCGGTTCGACCAACTGGTCAGTTGGTCCAACTATCCGATTGAACCAACTGGCTTGTTGATCCAACAAGCTGGTTGTACCTACTGATCGGTTAATCCAACTAATCGACTGGACCAACTCCTTGTTGGTCCAACAAGCTGGTTGGACAAACTGATCTGTTGGTCCAATTAACCGAGTTGACCAACTGGCTTGTTGGTCCAAAAGCCGGTTGGACCAACTATTCAACTAACCGGTTGGACTAAGTGTGTTGTTGGTCTAACAAGCCTGTTAGACCGATCAATGAGCTGGTTCAACTAACCGGATAGACCAACTCGGTTGTTGGTCCATAAGCCGGTTGGACCAACTGATCAGTTGGTCGAACTAATCGGTTGGACCAACTGGCTTGTCCAACAAGCCGGTTGGACCAACTGATCTGTTGGACGAACTATCCGGTTGGACCAACTGGCTTGTTGGTCCATCAGGCTGGTTGGACCAACTGATCAGTTTGTCCAACCGATTGGACCAACTGGCTTGTTGGTCGATTAAGCTGGTTGGACCAACTGACTTATTCGTCTGACAAGCTGGTTGGACCAACTGATCATTTGGTCCAACAAGCCGGTTGGACCAAATGGCTTGTTGGTCCAACTAACCGGTTGGACCATCTGGCTTGTTGGTCGAACAAGCCGGTTGGACCATGTGTCTGATTGGTCCAACAAACTTGTTGGACCAACTGATGAGTTGGTCCAACTAACTTGCTGGACCAACTTGCTTGTTGTGCTACAAGCCGGTTGGTCCACTAATCGGTTGGACAAACTGGCTTGCTGGTCCAACAAGCCGTTTGGACAAATTGATCAACAAACCGGTTGGGCCAACTGTCTTGATGGTCAAACAAGCCAGTTGGACCAACTGATCAGTTGGTCCAACTAACCGACAAGACCAACGGGGGTTGTTGGTCCAACAAGCCGTTTGGATGAACTTATCAGTTGGTCAAACCATCCGGTTGGACCAACTGGCTTGTTTGTCCAACAGGCCAGTTGGACGAACTGATCAGTTGGTCCAACTAACGTCCTGGACCAACTTGCTTGTTGTCCAACAAGCCGATTGGACCAACTGATCAACCAACCGGTTAGACCAAGTGTCTTGTTGGTCCAACAAGCCTGTTGGACCAACTGAACAGCTAGTCCAACTAATCGGCTGGACCAACTGCTTGTTGGTCAGACAAGCTGGTTGGACAAACCGATCTGTTGATTGAATTAACCGGGTTGACCAACTGGCTTGTTGGTCCAAAATGCCGGTTGGGCCAACCGATCAACTAACTGGTTAGACCAAGTGTCTTGTTGGTCCAACAAGCCTGTTGGACCAATTGTTCAGTTGGTCCAACTAACCGACTGGACCAACTGCTTGTTGGTCCAAGTAGCCGGTTGGACCAATTGATGAACTAACTGGTTGGACCAAGTAACTTTTTGGTCCGGGTTAGTACCGCATGTACTTTTGGTACCAACCATGCTGTTATGTAATGCTTTTTCTTAGTACCAACTTCACGTGTAAATACCGCAGGACGTAGGCAATCTATGGCGGCGGTGCGAGCGCAATCGGCGGCGGATTCTGTGGGGGTGGAGCGGCTAGAGATTACGCAGCCCGACGACTGGCACCTGCACGGTCGGGATGGCGCTGCGCTGCAATCCGTTGTGCCGTTCAGGTGAGAGCTCAGGTGAAATCTCAGGTAGAACTTCAGGTGCCAGGTGTCTGTCTTCGTCTTAGAGAATCGCATGCACAATGCATGCACACCATCCCCCTCCTCTCTCCCCCTCTTGTTCCCCCTCTTCCCCCCTGCTCCCCATTTCTTCTCCTCTCTCCCCCTTTCTCCACCCTTCCTCCACCCTTCTTCCCCTCCCCCTCTTCCCCTCCTCTTCCCCTCTCCCCCACCTACCCCTCCTCCTCCCGCCTACCCCCTTCCCCGTAGCGCGGCCGTCTTCCACCGAGCAGTCATCATGCCCAACCTGCGCCCACCGGTCACCACCGCAATGGCAGCAGCAGAGTACCGCAAGCGGGTGCTGGCAGCGGTGCCGGAGGGGAGGCGAGGGGAGGAGGTCTTTAAGCCGTTGATGACGCTGTACCTTACAGATGACACCACACCGGAAGAGGTGCAGAAAGCAAGTGAGTTTAGAAAACAAGCGTGTGAGTGCATGCTAGCATAGGCTGGGAGTGGTGAGAGAGGAAAGAGGGGAGGCGGGCTTTAAGCTGTTGATGACGCTGTACCTTACAGACGACACCACACCAGAAGAAGTGCAAAAAGCAAGTGAGTTTGAGAGGAAAGGAGAAGAGTGGGAGGCAAGGGGAGGCGGGCTTTAAGCCGCTCATGAACCTCTATCTCACAGATGTCGCCACACCGCACAACACCACACCACACCACACCACACCACACCGCACTCTCTTTGCTCAGACTGCCCCTTGTTGTGATCACTCTCCTTCTCTTCCCCCCCTCTCCCTTCACCCCACATCCAGAGGACGGAGGCGTGGTGGTCGCGTTCAAGCTTTATCCCGCGGGAGCAATGACTTTGTTGTCTCTGCTCCCTCCCTCCCTTGGTCCCTCCCTCCCTCTCTCCGTCCCTCCCTCCCTCTCTCCGTCCCTCCCTCCCTCTCCCCGTCCCTCCCTCCCTCTCTCCGTCCCTCCCTCCCTCTCTCCGTCCCTCCCTCCCTCTCTCCGTCCCTCCCTCCCTCTCTCCGTCCCTCCCTCCCTCTCTCCGTCCCTCCCTCCCTCTCTCCGTCCTTCCCTCCCTCTCTCCGTCCCTCCCTCCCTCTCTCCGTCCCTCCCTCCCTCTCTCCGTCCCTCCCTCCCTCTCTCCGTCCCTCCCTCCCTCTCCCCGTCCCTCCCTCCCTCTCTCCGTCCCTCCCTCCCTCTCTCCGTCCCTCCCTCCCTCTCCCCATCCCTCCCTCCTCCCTACCCGTCTAGAGGAGGGAGGCCGAGTGGTGGCGTTCAAGCTGTACCCAGCAGGAGCGACTACCAACTCAGCAGCGGGGGTGACGGACCTCTTTGGCTGCTGCTTCCCTGCGATAGAGCACATGGCGCACATTGGCATGCCGCTGCTGGTGAGTTGAGTTTGGGAGGGGGCAAGAAATTATTCCATTCACCGGGTGCTCTCGCCTCTGCTATTAGGGAAGCCAACTCTCCAACCTTCCGTGTCCCCCCCCCTTCTCCCTCCACTCCCAGCTGCACAGCTAGGTGGTGGATCCATCAGTCGACAGGTTCGATTGCGAGAAAGAGTACATCCATCGAGTCCTCTCGCCCCTGCTGTAGAGAAGGTGCCAACACACCTCCCCTTCCTCTCCCCTCCGTTCACCTCCCCACCTCAGCTCCATGGCGAGGTGGTGGATACATCAGTCGACATGTTCGATCGCGAGAAGGAGTTCATCCATCGAGTCCTCTCGCCTCTGCTAGCGCGCCTGCCCACCCTGCGAGTGGTTCTAGAGCATGTCACCACCGCAGATGCGGTCGAGTTTGTGTTGAAAGCACCTGAGGGGCGGGTGGCTGCTACAGTGACCCCGCAGCACCTGCTGTGGAACCGCAACGCTCTGTTCACATGGGTGAGCAACGCACTTACTCTTAGCACCAACCAGACGGGTAAGTAACGCACTGACTGTTCATACCAACCACACAGGTAAGTAGCGCAAATACTCTTAGTACCAACCAAATGGGTAAGTGCCGCATATATTCTTATTACCAACCATAGGGGTAAGTAACGCACTACCCTTGGTACCAACCACAAAGGTAAGTAACATACGTGCTCTTAGCATCAACCACACGGGTTAGTAATGCACGTACTCTTATTACATACTATGAAGTTAAGTAACGCACTTACTATTTGTCCCTACCAAACGTGTAAGTAACACACATACTCAATGTACCAACCACATGGGTATCAACGCATGTACTCTCACCAACTAATTTTTCTCTTGATACCAACCATACGAGTCAATATAGCGCTTAGGCTAAGTACAAACCATACTGGTAAGTAACGCACAAACTCTACCAACCACATAAATAAGTACTGCAGATACCGTTGGTACCAACTACAAGGATAAGTAACGTACTTACTTTTAGTACCAACCACACGGATAATTAACGCACTTAATCTTAGCCCAGATGGGTAAATAACACACACTGGTAAGTAACACACTTACTCTTAGTACCAAAGAAAGGAGTAAGTAACGCTTACTCTTAGTCACGACCACATCCGCACTTGCTCGTAGTGCCAATCACTTACTCTTACTCCCAACCATACGGATAAGTAAGGCACTTAGTAAAAACCACACGGGTAAATAACACAGTTACCCCTGGTACCGACCACAAAAGTAAGTCTCCCACTGACATGGGTAAGTAACGCACTTACTCCAGTACCAACCACATGGGTAAGTAACACACTAATTCTTAGTACCAACAACAAGGGTATGTAATACACTTACTCATAGTACAAAAACCAGAGGCACGTAAAGCACTTACTCTTAGTACAATCCAAAAGGGCAAGTAACGCACTTCCTCTTAGGACCAACCACACGGGTTGTTGGTATATGTGCCTAATTAAGTCATGCTCCTTATTCAAACTTTGGAACCACTCCTCAAGGTGACCTTTAAGGTCCTTGGATGCCTGGAACAAGAGCAGTCGCTATCCTTGGGTCCGAGTTTGTAGTTTACATTGTACGTCGCGCTGTGTGTCAGGCCGACCGTCGATCGGATTAAGCTGGAAATCTGCTATATCAAAGCTCGCGCCAAGAGCTTTAAACTGCGCCAAGCTGCCTTGCGAAAAGTTCTGCCTTTGCACTTGCTCTTAGTACCAACCACACAGGTAAGTAACGGCGACCATACAGGTAAGTAACGATGCCAACCACTTTTACTCTTGGTGCCGACCTTACAGGTAAATATAGCACTTACTCTAAGTACAAATCATACTGGTAAGTAACGCACGTACTCTTCGTACCAACCACAAGGTTAAGTAACGTACTAACTTTTAGTACCAACTATACGGGTAATTAACGCTTTGAATCTTAGCCCATGTGGATAAATAATGTACTTACTATTAGTACCAAACCACACTGGTAAGTACCGCACTTTCTCTTAGTACCAACCATACGGATAAGTACCGCACTTATGCTTGGTACCAACCACATGGTAAGTACCGCACTTAGTCATAGTACCAACCACTTGGGTAAGTGGCGCACCTACTGCTAGTATTAAGTACACGGATAAATAACGCTTACTTTTAGTACCAACTACATGGGTCAGTAGCGCACTTACTCATAATACCAACCACATCGGTAAGTAACGCACTTACTGTTCGAACCGGCCAGAAGGGTTAGAACCGCATACTTTCAGTACCAACCGCATAGGTAAGTAGCGCATTTATTACTACCAACGATACAGATAAGTTACGCGATTAATCTTCCTTCCAACCACGCAGGTAAGTAACGGACTTAATCAAGTTACGCAATTAGTCTTCGTTTCAACCACGCAGGTAAGTAACGCACTTAATCTTTGTACCAACCACACGAATAAGTAATTCTTACTCTTAACACGAACCATATGGGTCAGTAGGCTTACTCTTAATACGAACCACATGGGTAAGTAACGTTTATTCAAAGTAAGCAAACACACAGGAAAGTAACACACTTATTCTTAGCAAGCGGAGTGTGTGGTGAAGCGGATTAGGACAGACTGGGGTGGTGAGTTCTTTGGAGCTGAGATGACAGCCTGGCTCAATAAGCAGGGCATCAAGTCGGAGCTAACCACGGCTTACACCCCACCGTCTAACGGTGTAGCGGAACGGACGAACCGGACAATTCTGGAGACAGCTAAGGCGCTGCTCATAGAATCTGGGCTGGGCAACTTGATGTGGCCCCATGCTGTTCGGCACGCTACCATCTCTAGGAACAGGGTGCTAACTAAGGTTGGTTATAACCAGTGGGTGCCGTTTGAGAGGTGGCTTAGGAGGAAGCCGCCGGTGGACATGCTGAGGGTGTTCGGTTGCATGGCAGTCGCCCACGTCCCCAAGACCTACCGTAGTAAATTGGGGGCGAGTGCAATCTGGTGTCTTCATTTGGGGCTGGCTGCTAAGAGCAAAGGATGGCTGTTGTGGGAACCTTCCAAGGGTGTGTTGTTTGACAATGTATGGGAGATGGGAGAAACAACCGGAGATCAGGGTGTCCGAGCAGATAGAGCAGATCACCATGCAGCTGGCGTGTGGGAGGAGGGAGAGGAGGCAGCTGCAGAGGACGGTGATGGAGAGGGTGCAGGAGGCACCTGCTGGTGGAGGAGATGGTGTGGAGACTAGCGGTAGCATTAGCGGAGCTGCTGGATCCGAGGGAGGAGAGCAGCAGCGGGGGAAAACTAAGAACCCGAAGGGTGTCGTTATGAAGGCGTGGGAGACACCCGTCTCCATGCCAGGACGTACCCGTATGGCTACTAAGAAGCTGACTGCAGAATCAGGTGTAGCAGAGCAGCAGCTTGGGACTGAGGAGGCATTGTTGATTCTACCGCATGGCTATGACTCGGATGAGGAGGATGAACCTGCCTACTGTTTTCTTGCCCCTGCAACAGAGGAACTAGCTAGCATGAGGAGGCATTAGCTGGACCAGATAGGGAGAAGTGGCTGTTTTCTAGGGATGCTGAGTACCAGAGCCTGCTAGAGAATGGGACATGGGAATTGGTGGTGCTGCCTGAGGGGAAGAAAGCTGTACAGTGCAAGTAGGTGCTAAGGATCAAGACCGATGACTAGTGGCTAAGGGGTTTATCCAGAAGGAGAACAGGACTTCAATGAAATTTTTGCTCCCACTGCCAAACCCCCTACCCCCCGTGTCTTGTTGGCAGATGCAGCCGTTAGTGGGAAATTATTCATTCAGATGGATATATCAATGTCATTCCTCAATGGAATTTTAAAGGAGGATGTACATGACGCAGCCGCCTGGGTATGACGATGGTACGGGCAGGGCGTGCAAGCTGAAACGTCCATCTACGGTTTGAAGCAGGCGCCACGCTGCTGGTACCAGAAGTTGGCAGCTGTTTTGTGGAGATGGGATTCAGGACCAGCAGCTGTGATGAGAGCCTCTTTCTCAAGGGGGACTAGGAGAAGCTGGTGCTGTTTCTGGTTTACGTGGACGACATTCTTCTCTTTAGCAGCAGCAGCATGAAGGAGATCCAGAATGTGCAGCAGCAGCTGATTGAGAACTTCAAGTGCAAGAACCTTGGGGAGGTAAAGTACTACCTCGGGATGCACGTGGAGAGAGATCCAGATCATAGGTGGTTGAAACTGCACCAGGAGAAGTTCATAACGGAGCTGGGGGAGAGGTATGGGATTGAGAATGAGCGCAAGGTTGCAACTCCCCTGCCAGCAGAATTTAAGCTTGTAAAGGCTGCAGAGAATGAAGGAGTTGAAGCCGTGGAGCAGCAGCAATTTCAGTCCTTGGTGAGCAGCCTCTTGTACGCAGCAGTTCATACAAGGCCCGACATCTCTTTCTCTGTTGGGCAGCTGGCAAAGGTGGTGCAGAATCCATCAGAGCAGCAGGTGGATGCCGCTGAGGGTATGGTAAAGTACCTGAACTCTCACCCAAACATTGGAGTTCAAGACTCCGCATCTGCACGGGCGAAGCAGAAAGGGGTTGAGGTGCTAAAAGAGAAGGGGGAGAAGCTTGGAGAAGGCAAGCTCTTTCTCACTTGCTTTACCGATGCTACTTAGGCTTCCGAGAAGGAGGATTCCTCATCTGTGGGAGGATACATTCGCGTAGTTGGGGGAGGACCTGTTAGTTGGAGGTCAAAGAAGCAGACGGAGACGGCACTCTCTTCTGTGGAATCAGAGTACATGGCGATGTTCCATAGGTTGAAGGAGGTGATTTGGCTGAGGAGGCTGTTAGAGGAGATTGGCGAGGAGCAGAAGGTTGCTACACCGCTGTTTTGTGATAGCAAGGGGGCTCTTGGGATGGCCAGAAACGCTGTGCTTCATGGGTTGAAGAAGCACATGCGTATCAAGTGGCTCTGGTTGCGTAAGAATGTGAAGAGGGGGACGGTGAATCCAATCTACATCAAGACTCACCAGCAGCCAGCAGAATTCCTCACCAAGAGGCTTGCGGATGAGCCTCATTGGCGTTGTGTGCGCATGAGTGGAATGAGCATGAACTAGCATGGAATGATGGGGATGCAGCCGGCAGGCTGAGGGGAAGTGTGTTGGGTGCAAATTCACATTGCACGACATCCTGCAGTCTGTTTGTACAAGTATGCGTGTGCGAATGCAGTTGCGTATGAATGGTATGTTTGTGTGTTTGTTTGCTTTCGCAAGTTTCGCTTGAAACAGTTGCAGGTACTTCCGCAATATGTTCTTCGGTACAACATTGTACGCGCTATGAACAGTACAAGCAGAAAGGACGAGCTCGCAAAGGAACCCAAGATGGAAG